TTTCAAAGTCACTATACGGGAAAAGTTTGACCATTGTTGTTTTAATGAATCAACAGTTAATGAATCAACACGTTTAGTTTAATCAGACGACTGTATATATACTGTACCAAGGAGCACACTCATATTACTATGAATGGGAGAAAATACAACACACAATATGGCAGAATAAGTCATACCTTATAAATAAAAACAGCTAGTGTCCAGACTCACACTTGGCAATGCACATGTGCACTGACTGGACCAACCTGAAACATGTCTTCTTAACAACCTGAATCTTACATGAGCGTATGAAGTAAAAAAAAAAAATTGTGACAGTTCATGTCCGAGTTTGTTGCTGACTTGAAATATGTTATTAAACATGAGTTTGGAAAACAGTTTGTGAGATGTTGTGATTATTTCCCCATTCAAGTAGATAAGAGTTGCAATTATGGCCGCGAATGAACTGACTTTCCTTGAATGGGACTTTGCTTTACAGTCTACAGTGTCTCATTAGTTATATTACTTATTTTGTTTTACTGTTGTTAGAATATAATTTTCTGCAATCCTGTTTGACCCAATGGAACATTATTCAGAACGTTCATAGGAAAAAATGTTTCTAAAACAACATTTTGAACATTCTCAGAACTTTTTGAAATAGTGTTTTCATAACATAATGGGAACATAAGAACAACATTCTTAGAGCATTACATTTTTAGCTGGGAAAGCATGTGAAATGAGATGAAGAGGTCAAGGCTATAAGCTCATGTCTATTGAAGAATGTCTGACAGCATCACTGTTTGGCCTGCTTGTGCTTGTGCTTGTGCACAGACAGCATCACTGTTTGGCCTGCTTGTGCTTGTGCTTGTGCTTGTGCTTGTGCACAATCAAAATAACATTTATTGATGGCCATTTCCAAAAGAAATAACTGGAGATTTGTGAACTACAAGCCACCCTTACAAATTTCCTCTTCATAAATCCAGACATCAGCGGTGTCATTTTTAAACTGTTTTTAAACCATTTTTTTGTGCTGACCGGCAGTCTGTACTCCTACACTTGCAGGAAGGGTACACACACCACTCTGAATCACTTCCTGAGACTGTGGTTGTCATTGGGTTTAGACCAGTGCAAACATAGTCTTAAAGGATGTAGGATGGGTAGAAGATGGTGTCCATTGAACTCCCTGTGGAAAACTGTGACTGTGCTGTGCGCTGCCACATGAATGAGAATCTCTTTCCCTTCTTGGGCCCAGACCACAGTACACCCCCTCATAGATGAGGACATATCCTGGCCAAAACAACAATGTAATGAACAAAGTGTCTCATCTTGAACCTGCAGCATGTGTTTGGATTGCACTTGCAGGGTTAAATAAATAGATGTCATATCATACACCAAGAGTATCATGAGGATCATATCATACACCAAGAAATCATCATAAAAGTGGTCTATTTGACTTTTGCGCTATATTCCACATTTCTGAAATCATGCATAACTTGAAATAAAGTGAAATAAACTTGTGAAATAAAGACCAAAACTGAAAATCGTGACAACTCGGTGCATTCATGAGCAAAAAAAAAGTAAAGATGTTTTATTTGTGAACGAATCATTCTTTTGATTCAGACTTTAATAGAATCAGGTCATCCAGTTCACAAAACCTGTATGAATCTGATCCAGCTCTTGAGCCTTCAATAACTCAAAAATATGGTTGCAACAGTGAACAGATCAATGGAGGGAGAGATTATTCCTCATAAAAAGTTATTGCATGACTTCAGAATATTTATGTCCTTTTCGAAGTGTAAAAGCTTTAATCAGTCAAAAATCTTCTTTTTGTGTTTCATGGAAAAATGGGCTTGGGAACAACATAAGGCTGAGAAAATATGTTCAGATAATGCATTTGAGAAAAATAAGACCTATAGGACAGAAATTTGTTGAACTTCTCCATCAGCCATTTGTATCTACATGAGCAAAAAAGCTTGAACAAAGCTGAGCCTGGAGCTCATGGCCGTTCTCATGGTGTATGGGTTTACATTGTGGCTTGCCAAAGGTGCACTTCTTATATACTGCCATACCACAAGACTCCTTCCAACCAGCATGCCGTATTTATCAGAGCTGTGCCATTGCTGGATTAGTTCTCATTAGTCCAGAGAAAGTTAGGGGGAAAAAAGTAACATAACAGCTCTACAGCTACGTTTGGACATCAGCCTATTTTCCAACATAGAAAAGCCAGAAATAACCGAGGAGATACTGTGTGAATTACTGATGTCTGAATAGAACGAGCCTGTGAAATTCAGCTTGAGAGAGATGTCTTGGCAATGATTTCAAACTGAGTTTGTCCAACTTTGATGTAATCGAAATGCACAGAACAGCATTTTTGTCACATATCAAAGCCTGCTTGTTTTCAGCTGTGAAATACTTTTGCATTTACTTTAAATAAATATGCAGCTTAAAGAAAGCAACACTCACTTCAGACTATCAATCTATCAAATGTGTACAAACTGTTCTACAATGTCAATAATTGTACACACTACATGCTTTTTGTTCTGCTGTGATGCTTCTGAGTGGAAACAATATCTGCCTACAACAGTGAAATCTTTAAATTAATTCGTTTATTTGTCTGTTACATTTCTGGAAATTGGTGGTTTTCTACAATCAGAATAGGGACAAATGTATAGTACCTCACTTTGTCCTCATTATCGTTACAGGTAAACAAGCTGTGAGGCTAAAACTAGGATAATACATGCTGCAGATTAAACGTGCTGGTTGTGTTGGTATCTACAAAATTTGTATTTGACTGTTCCTGTGATGTAATATAAAGCAGCTTATATTATGCTGATATGACTATAGTATTTTAAACATATTTTGTAAAAGTTCTATTCAATTCCTAGGGCTAAAACAAAGAAAAAAGAGACATTTGAGCGACATGTCAAGTCACTGCCTCAAAAAGGATCAGTGCACTTTCATAGAGGTAAAGATGTTTTTTTCCTGTCATGACTTATAACAACCAAGACAAATCCAGCTATACTCATCATAAACTCACTTGGCAAACAGTGAATTTATTACAGAACCTTTACCTTTCACCTCTCTGCAATTTCACACTATTTGTCTGTTGCATACACTGCAAAACAACTAATATAAATCACAAATACACAGAGCCATTTGGACTGAACAAATATTGGGGAACATCAATGAACATTCAGCATTCACTATGAGTGCAGAGAGTGAATAAAATCGAATACGATGTAAACTGCACCTTGTTATTAATAAATTATTATTAATAAATATAATTGTGTTTTCAGGACTGGAACGTCACATGGTACACACTACATCCAGACCTCACCCAGTGTTTCCAGCACACAATACTGGTGTGGTTCCCCTGTTTCTATCTCTGGGTTTGTGCCCCTTTCTACTGCTTGTACCTCAAATTCTACGACAATGGACGCATATCTATATCCAGCCTCTACTGTGCCAAGACGGTGAGTCATACCGGTCATCATCGAGACTAAAATCTAGTTACCACCTCTCTTGAATATAGCATCAGTCAGCTGAAAAACTCACAGGCTATTGTTGTGTGCCTGGCAATATAGAAATAAGCAGTGTTGGGGGAAAGTTACTTTGAAAAGTAATGCATTACAATATTGTGTTACTCCCTTAAAAAGTTACTAAGTTACTTTTTTAGAAGAGCAACGTGTTATGTTACTTTTTTTCACCTGGGCTGGGCTTGTTTTTATATAACAAAAAAGTTATATTTTTGGGCAAATGAAAAGACCCTTTTTCACACCTAAAGTGAAATAGTAAGCCTCAGGCTGAAGCAAATTCATGGTTGTACAGTAGAGGGCGCCGCTCAAACAAACCTTTCAGCTGTGCTGTTGTTCTGGATAACGGAAGAATAGGATGCAGGAGAAAAAAGTTTAACATATACTTTACCAATAAAAACAAAAAATTCTATAGTCATTTTTGCTTATGGTTTAATTGAATCATCGAAGGTCAGCAGTAAGTACATTGGTCAATAAAGTGAGATTAAATGCATAAAAACATATTTAGTTATTGGAGGTTTGCATAGTATTCTGATTCCGCATTTCAATGATTTTATTCATTTTGAGGAATATTGAATCTTTTTTTTTGGTGCAAGTGAGATGAGTAAATGCATGCTCACAGTTAGTCTACTACAATAACCATCATGTTTACACACAACGCCTCTGCACTTCGATTTGTCTCAACAAGAGGGACAAGAGAGCTGTCAGTCAATAAATGGGAAAACAAAGTAACTTGCGTTACTTATTTGAAAATGTAACTCAGGTATTTTGTTGTAAATTGTAAAAGTAATGCGTTACTTTAGTTACTTGAAAAAGTAATCTGATTACATAACTCAAGTTGAGTTATCCCCAACACTGGAAATAAGTGACATCATTAACGAGCATGTAAAAGGTAGGAAAATGGTTCTACAGGAAGAAAAATAGATCATATCATATCGATCATATCATACACTTTGACCCAGTTGACATGTAAATCAATTCTAATATAGCACACATACCTTTCAAAAGTTGAGGAGTAAGATTAATTTCTTCTTCTTTTTTTAAAGAAAAAACTTTTATTCAGCAAGGACACATTGAATTGACCAAAAGTGAAAGTGAAGACATTTATAATATTACCAAAGATTGTTTTACAAAAAATATAACTCAATATAACTCAGCATAACTCAATTTGATGATAATTAGAAATGTTTCTTGAGCAGCAAATCTTCATATGGATTTCTGAAGGATCATGTGACACTGAAGACTGGAGTAATGATGCTGAAAATACAGCCTTGATATCCAAGCAATAAATTACTTTTAAAATAGATTCGAGTAGAAAGGTTATTTTTAATTGTAACAATAATACTGTTTTACTGTATTTTTGATCAAATAAATGCAGCCTAGATGAGCATAAGAGACTTTTAAAAACTTTTGATCAATAATGCAAGTTATTAAAAATGGGGGGGGGGGGGGGGGGGGGTATGACACCACAACGTTGGAGTTAATGCTTACATGTCTGTGTTCACGTCTTGTAGGGTTTGGGTCTCTGTCTGGCTTCCTTTGGTTTCCTGGAGATGGTCTATCTACTGGTGGAAAGGAGCAGAGATATCGAGCGTCACATGGTCTTTCTCCTGAGCCCTATAATTCGCAGCCTTACCATGGTAAATCACAATATTACTCTTCTCCTGAACCTCCCTTTTCCATTAAGGACTGTTATGAAATACCATGTTGATTTCAGAAATATAAGGGTCCAAATATATGTTTTGAATTCTTTTTCTTTTTTCAATGAACTCTTTTTAGAGGATAGTTAAGATTTATGATCTGTTATATTTAAGCTTGAATGAACAAATCTCTTTGTGGCTAGACGTCTGGCAGAAGTTTCCTGAAGGGGTCAGGATAAATAAGCCTCTTTTACCTCTGGTCACAGCAGACAGCAGTGTCAACAGTGGTTGTAGTAAATGACTTTTTCTCCCCCAGATCTGCCCAACAAGATAAGTCCATTTTAAAGTCCTGACACAGGCTAAAGATTCGCAGTAGTCTATGCTTACCTGTATAGAATCAATACAAAATGTATCAACAAAAACTCCACGTCTAAGCTGTCTAATGGTATTCAGTCCTCTTCTTCTAGTGAGTGTTGGATTTCTCTATTGACCTCAACTAGCACACTGACTGAAATAAACTGTGTCCTCAGATACTGGCAGTGTTGGTGATCCACTTGGAGAGGCTGAGGGGCTTTCGGTCCTCTGTCTTTCTCTTCCTGTTTTGGACGTTGGCAATCGTCTGCTCGCTTGTGCCTCTCAGAGCCAACATACAAGCCATCATAGACGAGGTTTGTATATCCCTAGTATAGCAAACTACTGTATAAAAAATATATTATAATTATTATTTGCATATATTTTAATTTAGTTTAATGCAAATAAAAATTGAAAGATATTGTCATCTCAATTTACCTGAGTTCACCCATTATGTTCTGAGGGACTCAAATGTCTGATAGTACACTTAAAATCTCGAATTTGAATTTAAACCCCACAAAGTTTTAGGATTCTAAAAAAGATTCTGCACTATTTTAGGAGTGCTGCTGACAATATAATTATACGACTATAGCAATAAAACAGATTCAATAAAAAAAAAAAAAAACATTTATACTTGTGGTCACAAACTTTTGGACCCCTTTTTGTAGGGTTTCTAATATAATAGCATTAATGGTGCTTTGAGAAATGAGTAAATTTGACTAGTTGCCTTAATCTCTGAATTTCTGGCAATACAAAATGTCTATACTTTGTTGTTCACCCTTTACGTATGCACAACACGGGCCCTCGAATGGTTTTTCTAATTAATGTTACTCAATCTCACTAAATCTATCTGTGTTGTATCTGAGAACCTAACACAGCGGTGCGTAAACAGAGTGCTTACAGATGGTGCTCTTCTCAGCATTGATGTCTGGGCAGGCCTGTCGGTTTTCCCTTTCCACTTCCCTCAATGCCCTCTTTGTCTGAAGCTGAGGCAGTGGTGAGAGCAGTCACAATCACCTCTGGTGTTTTTCCGGGACAGATAGGAGAAGCTGCATACGTCTGCGGATGCTGTTACTGTGTTCATCGGTCTGTCTGTCTCTCGTCTGCTGTGATGATCCCACTCCATAATTATGTCACTGCATCTTGTCACAGACTAACAATAAATGTCTTGACACTGGAAGGGGAAATACATGTAGCTCACATGCAGAGACAGTATATTGAGTTTGGAATGTATAATCTTTAGGGCTATGTGCATATTTTGTTATATATTTATATTATTTATGTGGCTACCAGCAGGGCCATTCCAAACATGGGGCGGGGCCCAGTGTGAGGTAGCGGAAGAAGGGGGGGTTTGCCAAAACTTCAAGATCAGGTCTCCCTCTTTACATGTAGTAAAAGTGAATTTCCCAAAATTAAAATACTGACTTTTGAAAACAGATACTTGAAAAATCTAGGCTAAGTACAGTAAGGAAGTAATCATACTGTAAGGAAGTAAAACAAAAAGAAAAAAGCAATGAAGCCGGCGTACAGCTCAGTGATGACATCGTTTACATAGGAACTGAAGCTTGGTTTGTGGTGGGATCTGTTGTGCCCCAAATGAGCCCTCGGCCAATGAGCAGCAGGTCCAAAAGAAACAGCAAAACAACTGGTGCTTGGTCCTCTCATACCTCTCATGGGGGAGGATATGTTCCCTAACCAATTTGAGTTTCTCCAAACTGTTTAAGCATAAAGTGGAGCAGACAAATAATCACAGTATCCTGCATTGTGGTGTCCAGAGTTTGGTCTGTGACCATTTGAGTGAAGCTTGTGTTTACATACTCTTAAAGAGGCCTGCGCTGCCACTTTCTCTTGTAGCTTGGCCATTTGACACCATTTCTGTGAGAAGTCCATGGGAATGGATGCCTTCTGTGGCCCCTGTAAAACTTTCAGCAGCAGATCCAGGCCTCAGCATATTTTCTCTCTAACAAATCTTGAACCTTGTATTATGCACTACACACATAGATCAAGTGCTGGCTGGGTGGTAAAACTTTGTCCCAAACAACAAATGTGAAAACTGTAATACAATGATACAAACATAAGCATTATTCATCTATAAGCAAAAGTGTTTTATAATTCATAAATATTATCTTTAATGAAATAAATATACTTGTTCATAATTTCTTTGTATGATAGCCTGCCCAAAAAACTATGTCTGCACAATTTGGCATGTTTCATTGTGTGAACACAACAAGTTAATATTCAATAAAATGTACAAATTTTGCTATAGGCTGCACAAATATGACAAGAGCATGGATACCAGGAGAAAAATGACAAGATAGCTTCATGGGCCAGTGTGCGATTGAATACTCACTGAACACCATCACCAATAACTTTTCTACTATTAGAGGTTGTGAATGAAGAGTCTGTCTCAGTCTGTTGGCACGAAGATCTTTCTGTGGTCTGTCATTTTTATACCATGATTTAGAAGTGTTCATAAATAGATTTGTTGTGTCATTAATCCTAGTTTTGATGGAACATTTAGGTCATTATAATAAGCTGAGGTCTTTGAAAGGAAGGGAGGGGAACAGCAGGCATCATCCCCAAAAGAACACTCCCCACATCAGCCACCAGTCCCGCCTCTGCACACTGCGGTGAGACAAAGTGGGCGGCTGATCTCAGATCAGCCCTGGTGCTAGCTGCCCTATAGCAAAAGAGAAAATATGGATTATAGTCCCACAGGAAGCATGCAGGTTATGTGGCGAATGACTCCTTGGGAAATCCCTGGGAAATGGGTATGCATCACTTATGTGCCGGGTATGGCATCTCCACAGAAGGGGGAGAATGAAAACATGCAGGGTTATTTAATAATTCATCTGTTGTATAATTCAATTTGTGCTAAGGAATCAAGTGTTCTTTTGTTCAGTACTGCCTGGCAGGTCTACAGGTGATCTAAAAATTATTGTTAGATAAAATTTTTATGAAGAAATGAAAACATGCATTAAACAAAATATGTATATATTATTATAATATATTAATATAATAACATGTATGCAATTCTATAAACTTAGCATGAAAAGTACTTATTTTACAGATGAATTGTTAGCTGATTAAAAACACTTTTTACCACAACAAATTAAATAAAAGTTTTCATTATGAAATGTTATGTTTTATACTAAGTTTATCTAACATCACCACACAAAAAAGCATGGAAAAAAGAAACGTTTATGCTTCCAATTGCTTTAAAATCAGTGTACCGACCGTATTGTTCTCCACACTGATATCCAGTCATGTGTGTTTCAGGGTTTCTCTGCGGATGCGATGAGATTCGTGGCATTTTTCACATTCTTCTCTCTCCAGCTGGCTCAGCTCATCCTCAGCTGTTTTGCTGATAAACGCCCAGCAACTTTTAAACCTGTATATGTAAAGGTAGAGTGTAATCAATGTTGATTTTGTAAACTATTATCTAGAAAACGGTCCAAAAATAATACCTGGAAATATTACTTTTTGCACTAGAATCCATGTCCAGTTGAGGATGCTTCTTTCCTTTCAAAAATACTTTTCTGGTGGTACGGCAGGTAGAGTCATCTTTTTGTCTCTCATTACATGGAACTTCTGAGATTCTTATGAAGGTCTGGCGAATAAAAACCCACTGAGATATAGAGAAACACACATATTTGTGCTCCACAGACTGGTGGTAAAGGGCTACCGCTCACCTTTAAAAGCTGAAGACCTCTGGTCTCTACGAGAAGAGGATACATCTGAAAAAATCATCTGTGATCTAGAGAAAGAGTGGGCCAAGCAATGCGCCAAACTGCAACAGTAAGACACCTGCTATTTCCTTAACTGCATGTTTTCCATCCTGGGATGATTTTAAATGATTTAGTCAGTAAAATATGTAACATCCATAATTTGCCTGCTCATAACTACTGATTTATTTGTATTATTAGTTAACAAAGTGCAACTTTTTTACTGTTGCAAAAATGCTAGCAATGCCATTCCAGAGATAAAAGAACGGTTACAAATGTTGTTTTCTCTCCTTCAAACACAGGCAAGAGAGCTCTCTGAACGGATCACAAGGTCTTGGTTATAAGCTTAGCGAGCAGAAGCAGCTGCTCAGAAAACTTCATAAAGAACAAAGCTCAGGCTTCTGTCTGCTACGTACACTAGCCAAAAACTTTGGCCCCTACTTCCTGACTGGGACTCTCTGTTTGGTCATTCAAGATGCTTTCATGTTCTCCATACCACAAGTGTTAAGGTGAGAGAGGCAGTAATTCTGTCATGGCATGTACAGTGATACTGTGTATATAGTGCAAAACATACACTGTACAAATGTTTGGCGTCTGTAAGATTTTTTTTTAATGTTTTTAGAGTCTCTTCTGCTCACCAAGGCTGCATTTATTTGATCAATACAGTAAAACAGCAACATTGTAAAAATAGTATTACAATTTAAAATAACTGTTTTCTATTATAATATATAATAAAATGTAATTTATTGCTGTGAAGTCAAAGCATCATAACTCCAATCTTCAGTGTCACATGATCCTTCAGAAATAGTTTTAATATGCTGATTTTATGCTCAGGAGACATTTCTTATTATTATCTTATATGTTGAAAATAGTTGTGCTGCTTAATTTTTTCCTTGATGGGTAGAAAATTGGGCATTATTTGAAATAGATTAAAAGTGACAGTAAAGACATTCATGTTACAAAAATTCTATTTAAAACGCGTTCTTGCTGAATAAAAGTATACATTTATTTGAAAAACATCTTACATTACTCCTTTGGAGTGGTAGTGTATTTAGAACGTGTTGACTGCTTTACCGCAAAATTTTACTGCACTAGACAAGCTCTAATCAAGAGTCTCGAATCTCATCAAATTGTATCCTTTTAAAAATATTTTTTTATTACTATTCATTTCTTTGTGCGTAAAACCAAAACATCTACAGTATGTAAGGCCAATGTGTAAATGTAGAGCAAGAACTTTAGCCTTTGGCACATCATTTTAAAGTGTTGTGCAACAAAAACTGAAATTTGTAAGGGTAAACTTAACTGTCTATGACCTTGTTGCCCTTTCTCAGTATTGAGTGTGAACTCAATACTGAGTTCACACTCAGCCGCCCCCCCCCCCAACACCCCCCACATCCTGCTGTGGTACAGCCACACAGTTAATTTTGTCCCATGCACCACGACGCTAAGGAGAGTCTGCTCTCTGCAGCATCATATTGTTTGTGGCTGAGCTATAGCTCTAAAAATGCAAAGGAACTGCATTTGGATCATCAAATTAAGCCACTTCGTCTGACATATAACTAGCCAAGAGCAGTTTGGTGGGTTCACTGCTCCAGAACCACAGGAACTGTGGCCATCAAAACCCTCCTTTACAGTGATAGTGCACTCTGAGAAACTTTGATGCACGGTTGTTGTTGCTCAACTATATTTGTTCAGTCCCAGTTTTTTTAGGTTTGGCTTGGGTTTGCTTTACTCCAAGTTAAATAAAGACAAAATTAAATTAAATTCAACTCGTATATGCAAAAATGGTGTGCTACTGTTTGGGTGTCAGTAAATCATAACAATGTCTGTTTCTTGTTCTTCAGCCTACTGCTCGGCTTTGTGAGGGATGAAGATGCCCCCTTGTGGAAGGGTTACCTCTTTGCCTTTCTGATGTTCCTGTTGTCTTGTCTGCAGTCCCTGTTCAACCATCAGTACATGTATACCTGCTTCACGGTGGGCATGAGGGTTAAAACTGCAGTTATGGGCCTAGTGTACAGGAAGGTAGGTTTTTGAACTGTTTACTAAGAAATGCAAAGATGCATATAATGGTTCTCACATTCATTTTTGTCTCCACAGTCTCTGGTCATCAACAGCGCGGCCCGTAGAACATGTACAGTCGGAGAGATAGTGAACTTGGTTTCGGCTGACACCCAGAAACTCATGGATTTCGTGGTGTACTTCAATGCAGTGTGGGTGGCCCCGATTGAAATCGCCTTATGTCTTTTCTTCCTCTGGCAGGTGAGAAGTGATACTTCTAGAAATAAAGATGTGTTTATATGTAAGCTACTACTAATGTTTTGGGGATAAATAAGGTGTAAAGATGTCCTA